TTTTTTTTTTTTTTTTTTTTTTTTTTTTTTTTTTCCCTTGTTTTTGTGACGGATATTGTAAATTGTTTTTATTTTTCTGCATGGTGCTATTTTTATTTTATTTTTCCATTGAGTTTGACCACATGGTGGTTTTTTTTTTTTTTTACGGATTTTTTTTTTTTTTTCCTGTCAGGTCTTGTTTTTGTCCTCGTCTCATCTTTTTTTTCTTCTTCTTCTTCCTCTTCTTCTTCTTCTTTTTCTTCTTCTTCTTCTACTTCATACACAACGCTAACCATATACACCCACGATATACACACATGCAAGCACAGATACAGAACTGGCCGGTAAACCATATATATATCTCTCTCTATATATATATCGTCACAAACAGAACTGCCCGGTAAAACGTAGCCAGAGTATATATATATATATATATATATATACATATATATATATATACATATATATATATATACATATATATATATATACATATTGTCACAAATAGAACTGCCCGGCAAACCGTAGGCAGAGAGGGAGAAGAGGACAACAAACGAGGGGCTGTGACAAACTGTTTCGTCGGAGTTTCACCGACTCATCAGGAGGCTGAATATATATATATATAGTCAGAAACATAAGTGGCCGGTAAACCGTTGGCAGAAAGAGAGAAAGAAGACAACAAATGATGAGATGTGTGAGAAACTGTTTCGTTGGAGTTTGACGGACTCATAAGGTGGCTGAACCGTCGACAAACTGACTCGACACATTGAACCCATATCATGAACACGATAATCCCAAAAAAAAAAAAAACCTGTTCAATTTATTTTTGTCCTTTCTTTGGGCAGAAGAAAACAAAAATAAATGAAAACATATATATATATATATATATATATATATACAGTTTGTCACATGCCGTCGTTTGTTGTCCTCTTCTCTCTCTCTGCCTACGGTTTAACGGGCAGTTCTGTTTGTGATGATATATATATATAGGGGATTCTGCAGACTGTTGAGGGTTCAGCCTCCTGATGAGTCGGTGAAACTCCGACGAAACAGTTTGCCACAGCCCCTCATTTGTTGTCCTCTTCTCTCTCTCTGCCTACGGTTTACCGCGCAGTTCTGTTTGTGACGATATATATATATATATATATATATATATATATATATATTCGTGATTGTCAAAAAACAACCTGGTTGAAAATTTTATTCCCTTTCTTTTGTCATATATATATACATATATGCATATATATATATATGCAGGGTCACCAGCCCGTCTGTACGGAGGTCCCCGGGCAGACCTCCGTACGTACGGGCGTTCGGGGTCCCGTGCGGGGTCCGAACCCGACGGTGTTTGGCCCCCGCCAAAAATTATTTCGGGGACTAAAGATAATAAAATTTTTTTGAATTATTTTTTGTGAGTTCTCTTTGACGTGAGGTACATGCGTGTAAATTTTCAAGTCATTTGGCTAAGCCAAAAAAGAATTAAAAATCGCCAAAGATGGCAGTGTCAAA